TAAGAATTTGAGTAAATGATTCTAACATTAAATGACAATTTTAAAAAAACGTTTGTGAAAGTATAATGGGTGAAATCCATTATTGGATTTTTTTTTTTTCAAAACATATTTTCATGAACTTTTTTCCCAATTGTCATTCTATGTATGAGTGGCCATCCAGGAGTCCTGACTTAACACCCTGTGACTTTTCTTTGGGGTGGTTAAAGGAGAAATTCTACTATACCAAAAAAAGTCTGGAAGAACTTAAAGGGCGAATACAAGAAGTTATATCTTCTATACCACGAGAGTTCCTGGTGAAATCAGTTGTCACGTTTCCTGGGAGGTTGAAGCTGGTTGTAAAATCTGGTGGCCATATTGAATTTGAAATAAAACATCATGCTTAAAGCTTTCCTCTCATATACATTTCTTGTAAAAATTATAGTTAATAAATAAATTGTAAGTATTTTAAAATGGGGAGTTACTTTTCAATCACCCAGTACAAGAGTTCTTACAGAAGATAGTGACGGAAAGCGAAAAGAAAGAACTAAAGACAGAAAGCATTGTTATTAGCATGTTGGGATCCGTCTAGCCAGGTTTTTGTTGCTATTCGACGGTCGGATTTCCAAATATTTAACAACAACACATCTTTTACATAAGACATATAAAAGGTTATTCTCTAAAGAAAAATTAGGATCAGAATGTCATTTGAAATAACATATATATATTCTTTACATATATATATATAATAGCAATAATTATTATTATATATATATAATAGCAATAAATTTTACTGGCAATGAAGTTTGTTTTAAAACGTAATTAAATTTTCTTAGTGCTGTGTAAAATGTGTGAAGAGACTTATTTATGATGGTCAGCTTAATGTATTTGTGAGATCGTAGACAAAGGTTTAGTAGCCAGTTGCTGGTTAATCCCTTCTATTGTGTGCGTGGACAAGGACTTAGTCGGCGTTTACTGGCTGTCTCTCTTCCATTGAATACGAGTGTGTGAGTGCACGTTTATATGTGTACGCACGTGTAGATCAAACTGGCACACGAAATTGTTTTTAGCCCTTTAGAAGTAGTATGCTTTTATTTTTATATTCGTAAGGGAATTCAAAATGAATTTCACATAGGCGTGTGAACTTTTTGAATACAAGGTTTTCATTGGTTGGAAAATAATTTCACATTGGCTGGCGAAAATCTTTTTCTCGAATTTACGGTGAAGGGAGTTATTATTGTTATTTTCTAAATGGTCCAAAAATAACAGAAGGTCTGCATCTACCTCCGCAAGTATTTGGGCGGTAGTTGTCCGTGTAATTAAAATCTTTGATGGGATTTTATTGGTTGAAAAATATATATAGTATGTATTTCCTTTGAACAAAAGGAACAACCGAACATGTAAATTACAAATTGGAGATACCAAAATCAAGTAAGTGCAACAATTTAGATATCTGTGAAGTGTTTTAATAGAGGACGGAAAGTACGACACTGATATCAGAAGGCGCATTGGCATAGCGAAATGTGCCTTTCAAAAGCTAAGTAAAATATTAAGAAACAGGAAAATTTTCGTTATAAACAAAGAAAAGAGTACTGAACTGTTACGTAATATCAGCCTCCTTATATTGTAGGGAATGCTGGAAAATCTCCTTACAAATGAAGAAGAGACTTGAAGCAACAGAAATGTGGTCCTACAGAAGGATGCTGGGAACTCTATGGACCGAAAATTTGAGCGGCGTCACAGTTTTAGAGAAAATGGAAATAAAAGGACGCTTGTAATTAACATCAAAATGAGACAGTTAAAATTTCTAAAGTACATAATGAGGAAAGAGAGCTTGGAAAAATTGCTACTCACAGGACCGATTGAAAGCAAGAGGGACAGAGGAAAACAACGCATAACCTAACTTGTGATCTTGAGTAAATGGATGGCGGAACAAGGTTTAGGAGACATAACATAAAGAAAAAGTTTATTAACAGCTACAAAAGACAGGAAATTGAGGAGGGCTATGATCGCCAATGTCCTAAAGAAAAACGGTACAGAGGAGAAGAGATCGCTCAAAATATTTTCCTATATAGATTAATGCTAATTGCTTATTCACATTGCGCCATTTCAACACGGGAAGAAATCTGTAGGGAAATTTAAAACTAATTGAAATGCTGTAAATAATTTAAAGAATCTTTTAATTTTATTGATTTGCTTCGATTTAATCAATTCTAACACATTTATAAATTTATTGACAGTGTATAAAAGTGTATAAAAGTGTAAAAAACAGTGTATAAAAGTGTATAAACTATATAGAAGTATGTAAAAGTATATTAAACAGTGTATAACAGTGTATAAAAGATAAAATTATATACAGTGTAACCCGGATATAAGAGAGTTGTCGGGACCGGAGAAGAAGTCTCTTATATCCGGGTTTCTCTTATATCCGGGTCTCTTATATCCGGGTTACACTGTATTAATTGTTCTTATTCTGCACAAAGTAAAAGACAAGTTTGGTATAAAATGTACTACTTAGAGCTTTTGGTTTATTTTCTCTTCGATATTATTTCCAAGTTAACCCAAAACCAACGTCATTATTAATAAATGCTCTCTTACTTCGCGTGCATCATCATTATTATCATCATCAGCCCCACGACTGGGCGTGGTCGTAGGGGCACCACACAACTGATCACATGACCAGTCGCTTCCACATGTCTGGATAAAAAGTTATCAATTCATGCGTAGCAAGTCTTGGGCAAGTAGACCTGTTGAAAAGCATCGCTCTCTGCTGATCAAACCTTAGCCGATGTCCTCCAATTTGTAGGTTCTTCTTGGCCACGGAAACAAGGTCATGATAGATTTCATCGGCGTGGAGTGAAGGCCCGCCAACCAGGCTGTTGACTCCATTACTTTAAAAAAAAAATAACTGATAAATCTTTATAAATATCTTAACACGAAGATTTTTTAACTTACCTTTTGAATCAGTTTCGTAGTTGCAAATGCTGTCTACTTGTGGACGGGACGCTACAAACGAAGTCGTTGTTGCCTGGTTTGGTTCACTAACTGATCCTATTTGAAAATACCAGTCTGAAAGAGTTGTATTTAAGGGGGCTTCTGCGTAGGTCATCCGATTCGGAAATTGGATATCATGAACGGTTTCAACATTAGAAACAGGTGGAAAATAACAGGGGGGAGATTTAGAGTTCGGAAGGAGAATAGTTCGCTCCGCAAACATTTTATCGTCCTGTTCCCATGAAGGTTTTAAAACAGGGTTTTGTTGACTCTCAAAAATATTGACGTCAGAGTCTGTCCGGGTAGATATATAAGTAAATGGGGAAGTTAATGAATTAGTCGTCCCCAAAATGTTAGTGCTAGTGGGATTGGTAGACCGTGAAGGTTTACATTCAAAAGATGAAGTCATTGAATTAAAACTAGCAGAATCCGTGGAGGTGGAGACTTGGGAATATCCAAAAGAGGCAGACGGTGTAACATCAAAGGAATTAGTTAAGATTTGGTCTAAAGAAAGAGTATGGCTCGAACTCAGTTCCATTTCGTTCGTAACCGGAATATTCCCGTGGGAATTTGAATCTTGACCGGAAATCGGGTGATATCTGGGTATTTCTGTTTTGATGGAAGACGGCCCGAATGCAAAGCATTGCATACTGCGGATGGAAGTTTAGTTTATCATTTTCACAAAAATTGATTTTTGCTCGCTGATATAAAATGAAGAAAATAAATAAATCAAGATAAGCTGATAGAAAAAAAAAAGAAATATCACTCATTAAAAATATTTTTAAATATTGTTTCAAACAAAAAATACAGTTAAAAGATGAAGTTAATTTAATCTGTTTAAATTCAGACGTCACTTGAATTTTGTTATTACTAGAATCTTTTGCAACTTACTGACGCGTGTTGAAATCCTTACAGTATTTAGTATTGTTGATTTTAATCGCTAACATCTTTTGTTGAAATTTACAAACTCTACGTTTCGTTCAATTTCGCATACCAATCGATGAAATTTGAAGAATCCGATTTGTTTAGAAAAATACTTTGACAAAACCCTACTTAACGGTTTAATAATCTCTTTAATTTAATTTAATTTTATAGGATTTCATGGTAAATGATATTTTTGAAGAAAATGTCTTTTTTTCCTTTTTAAAAACGAAGAATAAATTCTTTGGATTTCTTACTCTTAGGCATGCAACATACAACTGTCCATGCGTAAATTTTTCTCTCTGGAGTCAAATTCCAAGTTTTTGAAGCGTTTAGCCTTGTGATTTGTTTATAGTTCGCGCAAACGCGTGGCGAACTGGAAACTGGATATAGCAACTTAAAGAAAAGATATGCAAAAAACTATATTACATTTTTATTAAATAAGTATGTTATTTTAATCATTAAATTGTTTTTAAAATAGTGGGAGTATTTTGTATGTTAAATATAAAAACTTTTGTTTATTCTAAAATTAAAAAACTAATGAAACTTTAATCTACTTAATATCATAGTTTCATTATTTTTTTTGGAAAGAAACGCACTCTACGTACCCTAGTAAAACCAAGCGAGTGATCAGTGTATGGCGATTTTAGAGGGTGTGACGGACGGGCAGGCGGACTGTCATAGAATTTTATATATAGATAAACAGATTAGGTGAGACCTTGTCAACTATTATTCATTTTTAACTTGTGTTTCTTTCATTTTATTTCTCTTGCTTTTACACAAAATCGTAATAGTCTTGAGTTGTGTAAATTTCTTAAATGAAGCCTTAACAATAATTACTAATTTTTGACTAGTATTTCTTTCATCATATTTTTTAATAATTTCACCACAAGAAAGGCAATAAAGCCACTAAGAGGCAAGGGGTTACTGAGAAAAAAGACATAAAGAGAGTAAACATTAACAGAACAAGAATTAATAAGACTGTAGATAACGGTTGACATTGCATTTAAATTTTTGAAGATTAAAGATTAAAGTTGACTAGGATTCTAAGATCTGGTGTCGTCTCACTAACAAAACTAATACTTGAACGTTTACAATATTTTAGAAGCATGCACTCACAGGCATTTGCAAATGTCCATAACTCGCAAGTAAAGGTCAAAGAATTCGTTCCCAAGTTATCTTCGCGGTAAGAATTGGTAAGGTCCGTGTAAAACAAGCTGATAAGTCATTAGCATGGAAAATGAGCACGTGTCATGAATTACGAGGAGTTATATGTCTTTAAGAAAATACAAAGTTTAATGAAATGTCAAACTAGTAATCGTTTGAACGTAAGCGATTTAAAAAGAAAGAAATTATATAATGTTGGTGTTTTACTCACCTGTACAGGTATTCATCATGGCGCCAACTTGTCTACTGGTAAAAAGTCCAGTGCAGACGACAAGCTCAACAATGGTCAGAAATGATTGTGAGCAGACAAGATATAAATGAAGATTGAAGATGAAAATGAATCCAAGGGCAAGCAACTGTGATTATTATCTTCTGTTAACTTATTCCAGATACTATTACGACAATAGGTTTGTCGTCATAATTACTATTACTATTACCTTTTGCAATTCTTGTTGTTGTTGGTATTAAAGCAAGTACCTCTATTACAGATTATTATTATCTTGAGTGTAGTATACAATATAGTACTTATTATTCTATTATTAATAGTGCATTACCAAACATTGCTATTACAAATCTAATATTTCGAAATCTGTTCCATTTCCTTCATTTTTCTTGTTTTTAGAAATTTTCCCAAATCTTCTTCTTTTAGTTTTACCAAATCAGCTACTACTACTACTACTACTACTACTACTTCTTCTTCTTCTTCTTCTTCTTCTTCTTCTTCTTCTTCTTCTTCTTGTAGTTGTTTGTTCACCAAATCTTCTTCTACTCCTCCTCCTCCTCCTTCATCTTCTTCTTCTTCTTCTTTTTTAACCAAATCTTCTACTTCTTCCTCTGCTACTCCCCCTCCTTTCTCTTCTTCTTCTTCTTCTGCTACTCTTCCTCCTCCTTCTCCTCCTCCTTCTTCTTCTTTTAATTGTCATCTTCCATTCTCAAATCCTTACTTATAAGTATTTAAAGTGTTCATATAGTTTTGAATTGGAAATATTGCTTTGTAGATGTTTGTTTATCGTTTTCTTACCCTACCATCTCTACCACAGTTATCTACACCTCAGGATCATTTTTTTTGCTGCCTAGTGGATGGTATATATATATATATATATATATATATATATATATATATATATATATATATATATATAACCTTCAATCAAACTCTCAATTCTTAAACATTTTACTCTATCTCTCTCATTCTCTCTCTCTCTTACTCTCTCTTTCTCTCTCTCTTTCTCATTTTTCATCTCTCACTCTTTGAATTGTTAGAAAATATTTTCTTCCTCTCTCTCAGTACTTTATAGTCTTTCTTTATAGTCTTTTGTTCACTCTTTTTCACCCTCTTTCCATTTTTCTCTCACTCTATCTCTCTCTCTATCTATCTGTCTATCTATGTTTATAAATATATATGTATGTGTTTGTTTCTGTCTGCTACACGCTCACACTCCTGATTTTCACTCAAGTCTTCAGCTTTATTCTTTCATTCATTTTATCTATCTATCTATCTATCTATCTATCTATCTATCTATCTATCTATCTATCTATCTATCTATCTCAAGGACACGCGCACACAGTCTCTCTATCCTTATTTCCCCTCACATTCTGTCTTCCTTCTCTCTACATCTCTATTTATTTCTCTGTACCCCACTCCTCATTTCCTGAATGATGCGCGCCATTTTCCCTACAATATAACATAGAACCCAACACTCCCAAACACTTATATAACACACTTACCTGTAGTCACGTCTGTCCACCTATCATTATGACCGTAACACTTCACCGTAAGTCTTCAGCCATGCCCACAGTCACATTCGGCCCACAGCGGCATTGCTTGCATCTCCTTTGATCTAAGTTTTTGTCGTCAACTCAACAGCATTAACACCTGCCCAAAGCAACATAAACATTAGGCAGAAAAAAGCCGATGCTTTATCATCATCATCATCATCATCATCATCATCATCATCATCATCATCATCAGAATTGTTATTTATTTTTGTACCAATTACAAACAGACACTTAGCTTATTAGAATCTTCATCAATCGTCTGCCTTTTTCTGTTAGTTATTTTGTATCATTGTTTTATTTACAACAATCAAATCACATAATTATTAACGTGTATTTATTTATTTATATATTTCTGTCCAATCTGTCGTGGGAAGGGAAATAGATCAACTTAATTTAGTAAATTTATGAATGATTACTTCCCTTATTGGTTCTATGCAAATAAAATATTCATCTGCATTTAGCCAAAATTACTTCCCCATCAAAATGAACCGTTTAATTAAACAGTTCCTTCCCTCCTACATTTCTTAGAGTGCAGTCTTATTTGTTCAAGCCTTTCATGTGAGGTAGTCAGATACCTTTGTCTATTAAGTGATTGTCTTGCTTCAATTTGGTCTTGAAATTGTCGTCATTCTGTTGCTAATCTTTTTATTCCGATGAATATTTCCATTTCACTGTTATACTTAACGCATTAAACTTTAAACATGAAATGAGATCGAGCAAAAAGCTATTTATAGAAAACTAGGAATAATCAATGAATCATAGATATCATTGAACGTCTAAAAAATATAAAGAGAACGGATTAATGAAACTGTTCATTGATTTTTATTTTAGTTGGGAATTATTTATGTCCGATTTATTGAATCTCCATACATTGTTTCAAGACTTATTTCATTGAATATCACAATTAAAACTTTCTAACAACTGCCATCATTTTTTATTACATTGGTTACACTAGAAATTATAATAATCATCTTCTGCATTGCGTCCATTTCACATCGCTGGCATATTTCTTCGTGTTATCTTGAATGACTTGTGTGAAATATGGTTCATCATAAGGCGGGCAGCACTACTAAAAAAAAATTTAAGGTAATTTTTTGTTGAAGGTGTCTCTGCCATTTTCACTACATAACATACGTGTAAGGGTCTGCCTTAAAATGAGGAAAAGATGATTTTTTCTTTGCAGAAATGATTTTTCTATAATCAAACATTCAAAGCGTTTGTTTAATATTAACACAGATGACAGTATGGTTGGCATAAACCGCTTCGTGTGATTAATTTCTAATGTATTCACTTGAAAATGACAAACTAATTTTTTTGATAAAAAAATACATTTCTTCTCCAGAGGAAAAAATTACTATGAACGTTTCCTCTTTCTAAAGCAAAATATATTTACAAGTCTGATCTTCCATAGTGAAAATCGTCTATGGTTGAAAATGATGAAAACGTTAACTTCGACGCAAGTTCAAAATCAAAGAAACATTACTCCTAATCATTGTAGATGCTTATGTATGAGAGAATGTGTGTGCGACCGTATGTGAACGAAATGAAACAAACAGTAATGTTATTTTCCTCATGAAATTAGGTGTAGTATTCAGAAAGCAAAATGGGCCGCATGTGGCCTGTGGATTGAAGTTTGTGCATGAAGGCACTAAAGAGTCGCGTGTGCGCTCAGTGAAAAGACAGCAATAAGTTTTATGGATGCCTCTGCGTCATAGTAAACTAGTTGCTGTTACTAAATGCATGTACCATCTGAAATAATCATGCCGGTGGGGATATTTCGGGAGTACTCTTTCGTACCAAATACAAGTGCCGTATAAAATAGTCATGCCGGTGGGGATATTTCGGGAGTACCCTTTCGTACTAAATGCATGTGCCGTCTGAAATAATCATGCCGGTGGGGGGGTCGGAAGTACTCTTTCGTACCAAATACAAGTGCCGTCTGAAATAGTCATGCCAGTGGAAATTTTTCCGGAATACCTTTTCGTGCCAAATGCATATGACGTCTGAAATAGTCATGCCGGTGGGGATTTTTCCAGAGTACCCTTTCATACCACATGCATGTGCCGTCTGAAATAGTCATGCCGGTGAGGATTTTTACGGAGTACTCTTTCGCACCAAATGCATGTATCGTTGGAAATAGTCATGCCGGTGAAGAATTTTCGGAAGTACTCTTTTGTACCAAATACAAATACCGTCTTAAATAGTCATGTCGGGTGGGATTTTGAAATAAGCGTACCGGTTCAAGTGAAGGTTTGCCTGCAAGTTTTATATTCTTCTTCTATGTGCTGCACCTCGTCAGAACATAGGCGATCATGTCTCCCCACAACTTTTACTGCTTTATAGCTTTTAGTAAAGTTTGACTTTATGTTATCCCTCCTAATCCCCGTTCTGCTCGTTCAGTAGGATATACGCAGGCTTCCCCTGTCCTTCTTACTTTCAATATGTCCTGCGAGTGCCAAATTTTCCAATCCCTCTTTCCTCATTATGTGCCCTTGAAATTTCAACTGTTTCTTTCTCATTCAAAGTATAAGTGTCATTTTTGTTTCCATTTTCCTTAAAATTTCCTCGCTTATCTGTGAGGAAATTGTCCAGCATTCACCGCCATAGAGAAGGATTCAAAACTCTGTTCTTTGTTTCTAACGAAATTTTTCTATTTCTTAATAAATAGCTTAGCTTTTGAAAAGCATCTTTCGCTATTATAATGCGTGTTCGGATTTCGGAATCACATTTGTTAAAATGTTAAAACACTGTTAAAACACTTCCCAAATATTAAAATTTTTGTAACTTTTTACACTATTTAAATTGTTCGGATTATTGTTCTCATCTTTATTGCCATATTCACGACCTTTCGGCCGTCGTACGCTCCGGCCTTCTTCAGGTGATATTTCTTGGAATTTCGAAACGAACCTTATATTTATTCCACAGGGGTAGATTGTTTTAATTCCACATGCCATCCCTTTGGATATCTCAGTTTCAGTTATTCCAAGAAATATCACCTGAAGAAGGCCGGAGAGTTATGTCTTTGATGCCAAGGCGGGACCATTTTGATAAATTTCGCTTCTTTTTTTTTAATCATAACAGCAGAAAACGGTTTTTCTATCAGAATGATACAACTTATACAGATGAACAAAATGTTTTACGCAAATAGTTCTTGATTTGGGAAAGGCCATATCTGTTTAGTTTCGTATCCGAAACTTAAATAAAGCCATTTTTAAAGAATTAATGGATCCTATTTTTTAATCCGACATATTTTTATTACTTCAAAACGTTATTATAGTGGATACTCGTATCTGAAATAGACGCCTCATTTTTATTTTTATTTTTTATTTTCGGCCTGCGTATTTGAGAACTCTTGATAAAGATAATGCGCTTACCGGCAAGGCTTTCGAGATAAATATCTTGATTTTTCCGATTTTTTAATTACTTCAAACGTTTTTATCGTATTTGAAATACTTCAAAAAGGTGCATCCACTCTAATAACGTTTCAAGTAATAAAAATGTCGAATTAAAAATAAACCCATTAAATCTTTAGAAATTGCTTTGTTTACATTTCGGATACGAAACTGAGGATATATGGGATCTCGAGAAAAAATAATCTGTATGAGGAAATATGCTTTCCTTAAGAAGGGAAAATAGAGCCTGTTTGGACTGTAATGCTCTCTGTAGCCGAGCGGTAAAGCACATCGGATCAAACATATTTTCTTTATTAAGATTTATTAAGAGGCCGACAGACGTAATACACACTGTTTAAAATAAAAATAGATCGTCTATTTTAAATACAAATATCCACTAATAATAACGTCTAATATATATATGTATATATATATATGTGTGTGTGTGTGTGTGTGTGTGTGGTGTGTGTGTGTGTGTGTGTGTGTGTGTGTGTGTGTGTGTGTTGGTGTGCGTGTGTGTGTGTGTTTGTGTGTGTGTTTGTGTGTGTGTGTGTGTGTGTGTGATTATTTTCTCGCAAGTTACAAAAAAATATTACATATTTCTTACTGCGTTTTACTTATTATGTTAGAAAACAGGTTTGTTTATTTATTTTGAAGTTAACACCTGACATTTGTTCATGTTTAAATTGTCCCTAATCCATCCTGTATTGGCTTCAGCCATGGACACCTCTGGCCACCGAGTGCGTTTGCATGGTCACGATGAGGTTAAAAAGTGAATTAACATAGTTCGTCTTAATAAACACAAGTTTTACGCAGTGACTAAATCATGCGTGCTTATGTAAATGCATCTTCGACTTAGTATATATACCAGGATTCTCAAACGTTTTCAAATCACGGTACGCTTACCACACAGGATTTTTTTTCTGGCGCGATGCATGGCGGCCTGTCAGAAAATACTTAACAATTGTATTTATGTTTACGTTAGTAAAAAAAAATAAAACAAAATAAAATAATAGCACTCAACCATCGTCTAAGCCAGTGGTTTCCAATGCCAGTCCATGTAACGTTACTGGGGGGGGGTGCACACAAAAAATAGCAAATTCGGGGTCCACGATAATATTTTAGTGGTCCATAGAGCAATTTCACTTCGGAACAGTTGTTACAACTGAGAATTGAAATTTCTACAGTAATCGACGCCATATTAAAATACTAAAAATAGAAAAACATCTCTAAAACTAACAGAAAACAAGATCAAGTGATGTAAGTTATAGCGCCCCTTTCACTCTACCGAATGTTTTTGATTGTCAAACTGACAAGGATATATAAATGAATGATTGCAAAGGAAAATTATATAAAGATTATAATTTATTATAAAAATTAATTTAATATATTAATAATAAATAATAATATTGATTTTAAATATTAATAAAATAAAATAACTAATATAAATTAATTAATGTAGGAATAAATTCGATATTGTGAAAAAGCTTGATCTTCGACCATTGAGATCGATGGAGCCGATTATAAAAAAAAAACTCGTAGAGCAGCATCAACTACAGGGATATGATTGAATAAATATGCATTGTTTTAAAAATTATTAATTACACACATATTTTAAAATGGCTTATTATTAGTTATTTTACTAGTGCTCATAAATGTTCCATAGAATTTAGTTGTCAAATACAAGTTTATTTTCATTAAATTAGTTTTACTTCGAAATAAAGCATATACATTTAGTATTTCTATAATACAATTCCTAAACTTATCCATAAGTAAAAAATAAATTATCTTTTATTATCGAATATCTTGCCCTAGACTTATAGTGGGTTATCAGTTATAGTGAAGTGTATGAGTGTTGAAACAGATTAGTTTGATTTGGCCTTGTTAGTTAGATAACCCACCATAAGAGGGGTATAAAACAAGAAAATCAAATTGTAAAGTGAAACAACAAATTTATATACATTTGTAAATGCATCTTTGCTTACCGGCAAGGCTTTTGAGAAAAATATCTTGATTAGTCCGATATTTTAATTACTTCAAACGTTTTTATCGTATTTGAAATTTGTGTCTCTAAAAATAAAACTAATGTATTTTGGTTGATACAAGGTCGTCAAAATGTTCGTAGTAATCCTTGCAAGAAGGAGTTTATGTGTACGTAAGCAGGAACATATGTGTGGATGTATATATTTATGTATGAGCGTTATCGTAGAGTAGGAATGTCTTTGGAGTAATCGCTCAGTCTTAAAATGTTCCGTTCGTTTATCAAGTATAAAAGAGGTGAGGGAGAAAGGTAGAGATAATAATAACGATCGCTTGACGTTTGTCAAGGGGCGTGTTAATACGCTCGTCTCCTTCTCTCTGGTGACAGGCGAACTTGCCTATCTTTTATTTTGTTTGTGGGGCTTGTATAAGTCATTTGGGAATTCACTCCCGGATATGATTCGGGCCTTTCCATTGGACGACGAACAAACTTCACGTCGGCTTGCGAAAAGGTCCGTAAAAGAATTTGTTTCTGAAAATTAAAGATTATTTTAATTTTGTTTTTAAATGTTTCCTAGTTTTCTATTGGCCGAAAAACATTTCACATCAATGTGTGAAATTTCACGAGTTTTGTTTTGGATTCGCTTTTGCGTGTGTGTTAAGCAAAGTTTGTAAGTCTTTTTAAATTTCTAACAAAATCAATGAGTCAGTACTTAGCATTTGAATCTTAAATCTAGATCTTGTTTTGTTCACTGCAGACTCACTACTGTTGCTACGGCTAAAGTAAATGTCTTGCCCCTACGACCCTACGGAACACACACATAGTAGTTGTAGTAGTAGCAGTAATTATTTTGTGTTAATATTATTATTAATAGTAGTAGTAGTAGTAAGATTTATTCGTTTTCTACGGCTTATCAAACCTTTGAAGTTATTTAAAGATAAAAAATATATATTTTTAGACTGTAAGAATTTTTTGCGTTTGGGTGAAGGTAATATTTATTTAGTGATACAAGTCTTACTAATTAACCCATAGCTGAAGAGTAAAGAGGTAGATTCAACCTTTCCCAATTGCATTTGCGCGTAAGTGAATATAATGAACCCAACTGGAATTGGAACATAGTTCTCCGATTAACACTTCCGAGCCATTATGCATTACACCACCCGCACATCCAAGCTTACAGCACCTGGTATTCCGAACCGGTTACTCATCTAAGTACTGACCAGGCTCTACCTTTGCTTAACTTCGGTGATCGGACACGAACCGAAAGCCACTAGTGGTAGTAGTAATTGTTGTTGTGGTTAATATTATTATTAGTAGTTGTGTTTGACTTTCGGCTTATATATTTAATCCTTTTCGTTCAATATTTACTTCTTTTTTTTTTACTAAGAAGCTTTTGCTTCGTAGAAGCCACGATCTATTCAGCATTCTGATCGAAAGAGGACAAGTGCACTTATTTTTCAGCACCCCACCACACACACACACACACACACACACTCCAGCCATTTGGCCTTAATCGCCTACGCTATTACGCAAAGTGGAAGGTTGTTGCCTCTTAATTACTTGATGGTATATGGAACAGAATGAAACTGTACACATGACCGTTGGGTACTAAGCTCGAACTCAGCGACCGGCGTGCAAGTCTGCATGTGGGTCCCGGGCAGTGCTTTGTGACCCTTGTTATCTTATCAACATTTGCCTTTTTTTACCTGCATATACATACGTTACGAAGCACAACTGACTATTAAAGGATGAAAAATTTTCGAGGTTTTTGACATCATGTTGGGAACTTTTTTTTTGTCCAAATTTTTTTTTTGTTAATTTATTTTTTCTCATGCGAAATCGCGAAAAAAGAACTCTATAAAATTCACTATTTTTTTTTTTAATCCATAATGTTGATATTACGTTGGAGTAATGGATAGCGGTTCGGACTGAGGAATCGGAGAGCCGAGTTCGAATTCCAGTCGAGTTCATTACATTCACTTACGTGCTAATACCCTTGGGAAAGGCATGAATCCTCTTCTTCTCCTCCCAGCTATGGGTAAATAGCAGGACAGACCGGGTTCTTTAGCCTTGGATGGCAACTGGTCTGCTGCAGAAAGCAATGGCAACCTACTGTGGGAAAAATCTGCCTCGTCAGTCATGTATCGAAAGATACATGTTCGCCTAAGCATGTGGGGCACATAACTGAATGAATGTTGATATTAAAAATGTCCACAAAATATTGTTGATTTTTTAAGATGGAACGTTCTGTTATGATATGTCTCTAATTTGTCTTTAGATATATTGTTATTTATTTTCACTTAAACGTTTATGGAGGCATGGTTAACGTGCTGTAAGTGAACCTATGATTTTGCTCCTTTTTAATGGGAGAAGTTGCTCAGCTCCGGGGATTCCGACCTTGCAGCAGCACCCTCCTCATTGCGCTAAAGAGGTTGGGTCGGTGTAATACCAATGCCAGCATGACAGTGGTCGCGGGGGCTGGGCAAAAATCTTTTTTTTTCCTTGGCCCACATGCATTAGTAAGGGTATGGCGCACCCCACGTTAAAACGACCTTGTGTCACATTCAGCCATGGTAGGAAGGCCGGATAAATTTATCTATATTGCATATGATCCATTATTATATATAATTAGGTTACAATGAAATTTGTATTTTATATGAATACTACCTTATGAAAATTGAGATGTAGTAGAGTGTAGGGGCGTATCATAGATTCGGGGGTAGGGGCACACGACCCTTGCACCCCCCGCCCTGACTGTAAACATCAACGAAATTAAATCCAGTGGTAATTTCGTTCTGTTTTTTCTTCCTCTTTTTTTTTAATACATTGTATAAACCGTTACGAGGTTATGTTAAAAAAAAAAAGCTAATGTTCGTTTTATAATTAAAAAAGATTTAATAGTAGAAACATACAAAACATGTCAAAATTAATTAAAATATCTCAAGATTCCAAATCTTGTCCTCAACATAGTTTCCTTCCTTTTCAATCACATTTCGGGGCTCAGCCCAAATGTAATGTCTGTTGTTCTTTAAATGCTGTTGTATTTAAAGAATAGACATTACATTTTGATGTCATATTCAAATCTCTGATAGTTAAAGCACGTAAAGAAAATCCAAAATGAACACAAAAATTAGGAATAGATAGGTTCGCCTATTGAACAGGAGTAGAGGTTTAGGATTGGGTTTCCGGTTCCATCTAAAGTTTGTTCCTTCTCTTTCACTCTCAGGAGCCTCTTGTGTCTTAGTGGTATTATCGCCTTACTTGGAGTGAATCAATTTTTTTCACTTTTTTTTACGATGATGCTCACCGAGTAAAAGTCCCAAGAGCCACTCGAAGTAGAGGGTTACAGAGTAAGAGGCACTGTTTATATGTGGGGATATTATCATCATTGGAGAACCACTGCCCTAATACTGCCTTGAGATGTTCATAGCTCAAACAGATGTCCGAGGATATCAAACCAAGAAAGGGTAAGGCATAGTTATACAGCTATGCGATGTGATGGCTTGTTTGCTCTTTAAGATGTTGTGAGTTAAAATAGTTTATCATTTATATTTAAATGGGGCCTAGCTCGAATAAGCCTTTTAGTTTTCGACTTATAATTATTTCAGTGAACACTGTTACCAATTACAATTCTTAATTGATGCCATCGGACATGGAAAAATTTCTAGTTCCAAAACATATTAGACATAATTTTCTCTGTGGAAAAATGTTGCTTTAAACTTGTTTCTAGATGAGTATGGGTGGGGCTAATTCATTTACTCTCTGTCTTATTATGGTACGGTATTATACCCATCTTCTGTTTAGAAAGAGCTACCCGTGTTGTGCAGCTTGAAGATCCTTTGAGCAGCAAACAGTCTCTGCTTTTCACGGAGTCTGTTAGCATTCTGGGAACATATCTAATGTGTTTGTATAAATGGAGGACAGAACAAGGAACGGAAAGGATAGTAAAAAGTAACTAAGAGAATTCACTAAACTACAAACACTACTATGGCCCACCGGCACTACTTATATATAAATATAAAAGTGGACTACTTATATTTATATTATAAAAGTAGACATTGAAGTCAACACGCAGGGGTAACAGTCTGTTTCATGTTAAATGCAGTCGTCAGGCCATGCGTTTAGCATGAAACAGATTGTTGCCCCTGGGGGCTGACTTAAATGTCCACTTTTATATTTACATACGTCCTATCCCTGATATTGAACATTTTAACTCATAAATATAGCATACCTTAAAACTATATTTTATCACACACATATATATATATATATTTATATAGATAATATTGGTGGTAAATATACACATACATATGCAAAATATATAAATATATATACATAGGTGCATACACATACATGTATATTTTTTGAATAAAAATTCCAAGAGGATAGAATCCAGGTAGAACTCAATGTCCAGGACAGAGTAAGGATATAATAAAAAGGCTTAAATACTAATATTCCATGGTCATGAAATATTAGTGTTTAAGCCTTTTTATTTTATATATATATATATATATATATATATATATTCAGAAAATATTTTAAACCAACAATATAAAATGTTTGTCAGTAGAATATTTTTTTGCATTTTTTACAAAAGTTTTTCTTAGCTTTAAAAACAAACAGATATATATATATATATATATATATATATATATATATATATATATATATTTTTAATTCAACTCTATAAATTTAAGTGCGGTACTAGATTGGCGGTGCGATCTCATTATTTTACAGTTGAAATGGTTAGATGTAACCGTAAATTCTATGTTAACAGTTCTTTTCTCGCACTTCTCGCTTGTGAAACTCCCTTCTGGCTCCATGTTTTCCCGCCAATTTTAATCCATAAAAATTTAAATGCAACGTCAATCACTGTCTACTGTCCTCCTGATTACTCTTTTTGTTCCTACTCATTAGTAATGCTTCTGTTTCTAATTCTTCCACGTCAGTGTCTTAGTGGCTTTACTGTCTTACATCGGGTGAAATCGATTAAAAAATAAAAATCGGATATATGCATATTTTATACAATACTTATGCAATAATTTAAAAAGGTTTAAGGAAAATAATTATTATTCTTAGATGTACTTCCAAAAAAAAAATTCCCCCCAAAAAGTAAAAATAAATAAATAAATAAACGTTTTTACAAAAGGTTGAAAAAAATGTTTAAAACTTCAGAAAATCAAAAAACAAAGAAAAAACAAACGCTGATATCGATGACGTAAGCACAGGTTCAAAATTGACAATCGATATCATAAACATAACACGCCTTTTAAAATGATAAAAATCACCATTTTTCGCTTCTGACAAATGATGCGCTTTGACAAAAGTCTCAAGATTTATTGCGTAAAATACCCAATTGTGGCACAAGTCCGAAAAGAGGGCAATGGGGTTGAGGCTGGTGGTCACTTAGTATCCTATACTTAGCTAATCCGATTCACGATACATTCATTCATTACAATTGACACATTCACAAAAACTCATTCACAGCCAATCAATCCTCCATATACCATAATACCGCATACTCTCAAGAAGTGGGGGGACCTAAAAAAACACACCCCATGACATAAAAATTTCATTTTATGATTATAAAATACTATACATAAAAATTTGTACATGATATAAACTTTGACAAAAGCCTCAAGAATGCTAAATCTGCAAAAATTACTCCAGGAATTTTTTCCCTATTTTTTACGATTGGAATAATCTGTTTAAGTGGAGCCCACTCGCCTCTGTTACTTGCTTTAATGAGAGCATCAGCTTGTTTAGGTTTTATCTTCATTCGGCTGACAGCAGAACCTTAATTGCCACTGAAAGAACTGTTACTAACTTACCAACTTGTAAGTGAAAATGGATAGACAGAACCATACCATTCCTGCGCTAGGATGAAGTCACAATCGTACTGGGTATGACGATAAATTACATCCACGTCCTGAGTAATACAATAAACTACATCCAAAGCAAGACCTCTGACCAGGAGGGTTTGAGGAACGTAGAACCATCTCTTCCCAATTCCACCCTGACCCGGCGTGTTAGCACCTGCTGGGGTCCCAGCTATGGGCAAATAGTTAACCCCCAAACTGGGATCAAAACGTGCTAAAATAGGTTTTAACACCAGCAATACATTTTTGTAAAAAAATCATTACCAGCAATACATTATTACCAGCAATACTTTTTGGAAAAATATTACCAGCAATAAATTTTGGAAAAAGAAATATCACCAGCAATACATTTTGCGGAAAAATATTACCAGAAATACTTTTTGA